AAATTCTACTTAATTCAATAATTAGAATACATTAGATATTCAAAATATCGGTGCTACACCTAATAAAATTTTTTTAACTATTTTGGCGAATTATTTTAGGAAACCATTTAGTATCTGAGCAAAATTTGGCTGGATTAAAAATAAATTATTACACACGTGGTTTTAAGTTTATGTTGCTTCTTTTCCCAGATAATATAGCTCAGCCATACACCATCTCCATAAAACGAAACAAAAAATCTTTAAAAATCCAAAAACAAATACTTTAAAATGTTGAAAACAGTAACGTTTAGGAATTTAAGAATGCAGTTGGCGAAACATTTTAAGTTTATTATGTAGTGAACTCTAAGTAGAATGATTTTTGACTCTGTGTTTTTTTTTTTTTTTATCAGCACAATCAGAATGCGGAGGGTTTTATTGCGGCAACAAACAATGTGTTCCTCAAAAATATAGATGTGACGGAAAAGAGGATTGCAAGAAAGGAAATGATGAAGAAAACTGCGAAACTTATGAGTGCGACGAGGAAACCCAATTTAGATGCGATGAAAATAAATGCATTCCTAAACTATATGTTTGCAATCGTCAGAGTGACTGTTCGGATGGAAGTGATGAAGATAACTGTGGGAAATAAGGTATTACATGTTTTTAATAAAACCACAAATTACAAAAATAATAAAAAAGAATGGATGGAAGGGACTGGTTTCTTAAGACAAGGGCGCATCAGCTGAAAGTTGAAGTACCCTGACCCCAACAAAATACTGTTTTTCAAGCTCAGCGAGAGCAGTCGTTCCAACTCAGACATTATCTCNGACAACACAAATTGATACCTTCCAAACACCAGTAAAGTGATACGCCATTTTAAGTAATAGTAAAAAATTACTCTTTTTTCCTATGTAAATTCAGCAACCATCCTACATACAATTGTACAAAGCACGTGAGCATGCCCGTAATCCATCATAAAAACTCCCAAACAAAACTTGGCAATCACAGCAGATTGTTTTTTTTTACGAGAAAAGCGTGTTAAAAGAAAAGGTACTGACGAATTCTCCCGAATATTCTCGGGATAATATTTGCTATAGATACATACAGCAGGGAAGCAGAATAGATCAGGGATAATAAATAAGTGTTGTGAATGTAGGGAAATTCTATGAATTTGTTGTTCCAGATATAATTTTCATTCTTGAGTTAAGTCATGTTCAGTTTAAGTGTTTATCGAGTGTTTCCCTCAGCCTCTTTAAACCCTAATCCAATTTCATATTTTTTGTGATCCATGTAAGCCGATTTTGTGAGCCATATTTCTTAGTGTCTTTAAATTTTTTAAGTAAGTAATAATTCGTTTGTTTCATTACATTTAGCTGCCTCAACCTGCCAAGGTTTTTTCTGCAGAAATGAAAGTATGTATTTTCCATCATGCATACCTCCTTATGAGAGATGTGATCACGTAAGACATTGCTTTGATGGCTCTGACGAAGAAGGTTGCCCTCCATGGTGCACTGAAAAAGATCGTTTCTGGTGTGGGGGTACTTGCCTTCACAGACTCCAAGTCTGTGACGGACGTAATGACTGTTATGATCTTTCCGATGAGAGAGACTGTGGTAAGAGAAATTTTTAAAGTGCAACCTTTGATCCCATGATTAGGTTTCTCACGTACTAAGATTTAAGGGGTTGTACTTTGTTAAAATATTTGTTCAGATGATATTTTAAGCTATAGAGTCAGACTCAAAAACCTCAAAATATGACGCAATCTGGAAAATATGATTTCACTAGTTTATTCATGAGAGATTGTTTGGGCTTCTTAATATTCATTTATTACAAATGCCCAGAAGATTGGCTATGACGCCATTAGTTCCTTGGCCATCCAATATCTCTGTACATAACACTGTAAGGACTGTTTGCATCAATGCCTATACCTAATTGGGCCACGCTTCGAAACTTTTTTTTTCGGAGCGAAATGGAATACTCTGCAGAATTGGCCAATTCATATGGACTTATGAATGTATGAGTCCGAAATTTCGATTTTTCGAATTAGAACACCAAAATCGTCACCAACTTTATTTAAGCTTAAGTGGTGATATTTTTGGGATAGATTGAAAATTCTCACCCCACCCTAGTTTTAGGGCATACGATAACAGTCCGACCAGTCGCCGTGGCAGACCCGCTCAGGAAAGGAGGAGCAGACTCAGTCTGAGCCATGCGGGGAACCCGGCAAAGCCCCAACGTAGCATTTATTAAAAACCAAAAAAGTTGAAGTATTCTAAGCAACAGCCCGATACATAGGACAATCAACGGGAAGGATATTAACATAATAGGCTTGGCTCAAAAATTACCAATCTTCTTATGCTACTGTAGTTGTGCTCAAGCTAACAATATCAACATTAATTCAAAGACCCAATAAAGTAACTTAAAATATGAGATAGTGACAAACATATTTTTAAAACAACAAAGACAAAAACTTATTCAAAATACAAAAACAGAAAACAAACACTCACGAAAAAATGGAATAGACAATGAAGATTACAGAGTTTGACAGTAAAAAGACCAAAAGACCCTTATAGTGATTTAAAATCAATAAAATGAGGTCAACAGACCCTTATAAAATAGCATCATTTGGGAGCTTAAAATTTACTAAGACAAAAATTAGTTAAAAGCAACGCTAAAAAAATAAGCAGTCGAAAAAGTAGTAAAAGTACTCATACAATTAAAATTGCAAAGTTAAAATATGCAATCAATAATTAAAGGGATTGTTAAAATCAATTAGAATTAAAGTTGTGAAATGGCCAAGCAACACTGAAACATTAAATTATTAAAAGTGACAGTTAAAAGTAGAATTAAAAGATAAACATGTAAAATTTACAAAAGATCAACATAGTATGAAATATTAAAACAGTACTTTTAAAAGCAATTAAAAAGTACAATTGCAATTACAATAAAATTAGAGCAAGTAAAAGTAGAAAAGTTTATAAGAGACATAATAAAAGTTACAAAACCATAAGCTCATTAAAATTGAGACACCCAAGTTGAAACGAGCCATTAAAGACCGTCCCCCAATACATCCTCTAAAGTTTGTTTGATAATATTTTTTATAATATTTCTGCATGTCAGGTTAGCATAGCATTGATGATAACTAAAATTATTAAAGTGATTGCCCCAGAGTGTCTGGAATTGAGAATAATTCATTAACAAGTAGATATTTTTGGGTTAAGAAACTTGGTTTGACTCCTTAAAATACAAGTTGAATATCCTTAAGATAACAAAGCTCTGGGAGTTGAAGCGATGCGCAAACTTGGTACAACTCTTTTCTTACTTGTCCTCACATTGACTTCGTTTAACTTTAAATGATGGGGGCTTTTCAAGTATTGTTTTGAGCATACCAGACGCGTGTAAAAATGGAGGGTGGATACATTTTTGTCAACACATGCAATTCAATCCCAGATAGCAAAATAAGGTTTACTTTTACTTAGCAAAACCCTTTTAATGTAAACCTAAAAAAGTATGTTATGCGGTTTACGTGTAAGCCTTCGAAACTGAAGCGAGATCTGTTACCACTCGCTCTATTCTGCGCACATTACCCTAATCCAGAACCTTGGAAAACAATCTTCTGTATAAAAACCTTAAACCGAAATTGACTGAGGGCTTTCAAGCGTAAAAAAAAATCCTTTAATGAAGCTAGTCTTAAGGTAAAAATAATCTTAAATCTAGGCAATTATAAAATGCCACCTTCGTCATGAAATTTTAATGGACAATTCAGTTTGATCTTATGACGCTAGTGTGACGTCAGCTAAAACGTCATCATGGACCTAAGTGGTCATTTTACCTGAGTGACAATCCTTTTAAAAAAAGCTTCAAAAAATAATTTTCAATCATTTTAGGATGAAAGGTTTGAAACTGCAATATTTTTATTTTATTGAAGAGAGATTTTTAGTACAAATATTTCATGACCATAAGAAAAAACTTCTGCCACAAGGTCGCCGTAAGGTAACATGCATTCTGGGAGCCACATAAAGTAATTTTCTTGGTTTCCTAAGACAAGCGTTTTCTCTGTACGTCAGCGAGAAGTTGACGTACCGCTGACGCCAACAAAGTGCCATTTTGTAAACTCAGCCAACGCCTCCTATAACTGAAAGCCTCCACACTGTCAAACCACTATGAAGGTAAACCAGTTTACGAATAAGCCCTGTAATAGTAAATCTATTAAAAATTAGAAAGAGGTGGCAAATATATGTCTAAAAATGTGTTTAATTTATGAATATAATTGGTTTGTTTTATTTACTTGTCAACCACTACAGATTCAATTCTCAAATATATATGATAAATTTCTCTCAAGTACTTTTAAAATAGAGTTTGGGTTCATGTGCACAAGTGGTTCGCTTTTTAAATATTCTGCGCAGACTACTTATAGGAAACCGTGTGAAGGCTTTCTGATGTAGTTGGTGATGGCTCAGCGCGAGCAGTTGGTCCAACGCAGACATTATCTCGCATTGCGCATGCGTTAATAACGTAAACAAATGTTTATTTTGAATTTTCATTGATTTTGTTATTGTCGACCAGTGCTTTGGAGAGCAAATAATGACTTTGTACAAGAAAAAAACACATTATTGCTTTGCTAAATGAAGAAGAAGAGGAAGAAAAAGCTATGTTTTATGTTAAAATCAAAATCTTGGCCGATTTCTATGCTCTGTTGGATGTTGTCCGCCATTGCTCTTTTCATGAACGTTGCGTTGTAGTCCAACAGCAGCTGAGTCGGACGCCAGTCGTCGTTCAAGCTGAGCGTTCGATGACTTATGCTATCTAACTTACAAGTTGACCAATCAGGGATTAGCGGTCGCTTCAAGCTGACGTTTTGTAACGCCAATTTGTCCTGAGAAACCATGCATTTTAGATATATGAACTCTACAGCTACATGGACTATTACCAAAAATACTTTACACTATGCGAAGCCTTTTTCTGTTTCAGATTTCAATCCATCCGAAGAATGCTCACCCCAACAATTCAAATGTAACAATGGTACTTGCATTTCGTGGCTTTGGATCTGCGATAGTATGGAGGATTGCTCTGAAGGGGAAGACGAAGATGGCTGCAGACCCAATTCTTGTGAGGATGGGAAGTTCCAATGCAAGTCTGGACAATGCATCCCAAAAGAGCAAGTTTGTGACGGTAGTTATCAATGCTTCGATAAGTCTGATGAAAGAATTTGCTGTAAGTTTTATTTTTAATCGTTTTTCATGAGGAAACTATACCACGGGAGAAACTTTTCATGACGAATTCTGTTTCATCTCTAATTGGTATTTAATTAGAACAGTTAGAGCCGTGATGGCTCATGTGATAGAGCGTTCGTCTTCCAATGAGGCGAACCGGGTTCGAATCCCAGCCCATACGAATTCCGCTTCCGGCTTGCATCGACCGCAGTGCCGACGTGAAATATCCTCAGTGATAGACGGGTCACGGGTTAAAGTCCCTTTGCCGTCAGGCTAACCATGGGGGTTCTCGTGGTCCTCCTCTCCACGTCACGAAAATGCGGGCTAGTTCCATTAAAAAAAGTCCACAACGAAAGTAACTTTTTTCCAGTACTTGATCCAGGAGTTCCCTTGTCTTCTGGATTAGATTCAAAATTACAAGGCTACGAAGTTGAACGTTAGTAGTCACAAGCCCATAATATTGGGTTGGCTGTACAGCGACGGTTATAAAAAAGATGGAACAGTTTAACGAAGACCGATACCGTGCACCCTCGGTCCCTGCGCAGGTCTGATCAAAGTGGTCACCCACCCGCTTACTAACCGCAGCCAGCGATGCTTAAGTTCAGTGTTCTACTGGCTGTGCTTACTAACAGTTCACTGCGGGACTTCAGAATTTAAAACTCTACGGTTTAGTACAACTACTTTTTTCAACTTTAAAATACCAACGCAGATGAGAGAGAATTTTTCATGAAGTTTTCTCGTCATTAGTAAAAATACTTTTGCATTTAAGTAGGTTGTGATTACTACTGACAGGTGTTATCAAATCACGGTATCATATATGCTACCATCAGTCCTTCTCTGTAAATGATCTAACAATTAGATTTCATATTGGCATAACTATCGTTAGAAATTATTTATTATCATACTTAAAATATGCTAATTAATCAGGGCAAAAGTTTTATGACGTAAAGTCAAAATATGAAATACTAACGCAATTCTTCTATAAAAACAACACTATTTCGATGAATTTGGATTTTTGATCTGCCAAAATGTCAACGCTTGTTGCCATCTGAAAATGTGACTACTAATTTAGTTCAGAGTTCATTCTATAGTTAGATACGGTAGTTTAGTTAGGTTTCAGATCTTTGGCCCATATTCAAAAACCGCACTTAAGCATGCATTTATGAGTAGTCTTCTCAAGGTCAAATCATGACATCAATTTAAATTTTAAGCTATGGTAGCAATTTGTGACAACAACAATTAAGCCAATCCGACAATTTGTCCTTATAACGGACTAATATTTAAATTATTATTCAACTGTTTAAATTATTAAACACTTAAATAATGAGCAATTATTAATTATTAAACTATCTAATAATAATTAAATATTTATATATTTAAATAATAAACATTTAAAAAAAATTATTAACCTGCTTAAAAGCAAACAACAATTTGGAGATATTTTTCTACTTGGAAAAGGGCTAAATTCAACTAATGCACCAGAGGTTTGCAACTTACATGTTGCTGGGGGCCGCAATTAAAAACACCAGTCAAATGGAGGGCCACAACATTACCAAAATTTTACAAGACTCTTGCATGTATGAAGAAACATTAAATATTACTGACAAATTTTTATCAAAGTTTTTTCAATATTAAAAAGGAAAATAAAAAGAATTACAAATAATGCTGATTGAGTATCTATTCATTTTGAACCTTCTCTTAATCAGAAACTTAGTCGCAAGCTTTTTGTTTCTTCTTTTAAATTTAATTATGTGATAAATTAACTTTTTTCCGTCTTATTAGGAATCATAACAACAAGAACAAAAAAAAATCTCGAGCATATGAATTTTTTTCCCCTCATGCGATATACAAGGAATTTAAATAAAACATGATATTCATTCCCTTTTTTATGAGTTTTAAAATTTACAATTGTAAATAATTTCATCCAAAATGAGTAGTATCAAAAAGTTAAATCAGAGAATTTCTTCGAGAAAATTTCTAACGCGCACGTGCCAAATTATATTTTCAAAATACGAAAAAAAACGAAATCCAAAAAAGCAACATACACGATTATTTTTGTATTTGAATAAATATTTTCTTGGATGCAAGACCTGAGAAATGCATTTTTTTACACCGTTGGTATGTTAAATTTCACAGAAACGAAGAAATTAGGGTTTTTTAAGCGAAAGAGAAGCATTTTAAACACATATAGATTTTTTTACAAAAATTGTCCGCAGAAAAAATATAACTAATATATTTTACTTAGCGGGCCACAAAAAAGGCTTCGCGTGCCGCCAGTTGGCAAACACTGCTCTACATCAATCATCAAATCACAGCCAAATTTTAGGTTAAAAGGTTTTTGTTGAGTGAAAAAGAAACTTATTTTGCTATCTGGGTTTTAGGTTTATGTTGTTTCTTATCCCAGATAGTATAGCTCAACTACGCAAGATCTCCACAAAACAAAAAAAATCTTCCAAAAGTCCAAAAATAAATTCTTTAAAATGTTGAAAACAGTAATGTTTAAGCATTTAAGAATGCAGTTGGCGGAATCATTTTAAGTTCATTATACAGTGAACTCAAAGTAGAATGATTTTTTACTCTGTGTTTTTTTTTTCATCAGCACAATCAGAATGCGGAGGGTTTTATTGCGGCAACAAAGAATGTATTCCTCAAAAATTTAGGTGTGACGGAAAGGAGGCTTGCACAAACGGAAACGATGAAGAAAACTGCGAGTGCGACGAGGAAACTCAGTTTAGATGCGATGAAAATCGATGCATTCCTAAACGATATCTTTGCAATCGTCAGAGGGACTGTTCAGATGGAAGGGATGAAGAAAATTGTGGTAAATAAAGTATTACATGTTTTTAATAAAACCGTGAACCACGAAAATAATAAAGAAGAATGGGTGTAAAGGACTTGTTTCTTTAGACAAGCAAATATAACGGAAGCAACAACAACGGACGCAACGCAAATATAACGGACAAGCAAATATAACAAAAGGACTTGTTTCTTTCTGTGGGCGTCAGCAGAAAGTTGACGAACCCTGACCCCAACAAAATACTGTTTTGCAAGCTCAGCGTGAGCAGTCGTTCCTACTCAGACATTATCTCACATTGCGCATGCCTTAATGACGTAAACAAAAATCTAATTTGATTTTGTAGCTCATTCCTATAACTTTATATGTGTCAATCAGTGCTTATGAAAAGCAAAAAATGACCTTTTAATCAGTAACCACAGATTGTTTAAAGCACGGGATCTTTGTATGATTTATATCTTACATTATAAAAATTAGGTCATTTTCTTAAATTTCAGAAGTTAATTTTTCCTCGAAATCAAAATGTTGGCCGATTTCAATTATCTGTTGGCTGTTGTCCGCCATTGTTTCGGTAGTTAACGTTACGTTGTAAATCAACTGCAGTTAATTCGAACGACTATTGTCGTTCTAGCTGAGCGTTCGATG